ATGTACGATATGAAAATGTAATAATGAATATATGTAATAAAAATGTAATATATGAAAAGATTTTGTATTGGTCGAGGTGTCCCATTGCCTTAATATATTTAGTAACTCATTTCTTATAATTCTGTGTGTATATATGTCCCATCTCTGAACTGTGTCCCATCTGTGTCCCATCTTTGAACTCCATAGCAATAACGTATACTTAGATTAAACGAAATGATCGGAGTATTTATTACATTTCAAAATATAAAAATGTTAAATAACAAATATATCAAAAACCACAAATTAAAGAATTTTTTGCTAATAATATTTTTGTCTCCAAAAAGAAAAATTATTTTCAATTTACTTTACAAATTTATTATTACTATAATCGTTACTGAGTACATAACATTAAAATTCTTTTGTACAATTACAACACACATGTTAATAGAGACTAATAAAGAAATAATCCAGTCTCTAAGTATAGTGATACCGGAAATTTTGTATTAGATTTAATATTATTCTGATCATCACTGCTAATTATTGTGTAAGTCAGCAAGAATGCCTCAAAGTACAAATCGATCATTCACATTTCATTTTTCACATTTCACTGTGGTTAGTCAATTTCTTATGGCTCAGGGCTTACGTTTCAGGCCAGTAGTAATAGTCGGATCTTATATTTAAGACCATCTGAAGTTCATCTTCAGATTGGTTTGTAGCCAAAACATGAAATGAGCGGTACAGCATCTGAAGATAAATTTAAGATGGTCTCAAATATAAATGTATGAGGAACACGACTATTTGAGATTGAAACGGATTAATATAAATGCAGTTCCAATTGGTCATTCTTCTATTACATCTTTTCCGTTCCGCTTTTCCGTTGCGCTTTCTCTTTCCGTTTTTTTCGTTCTTTGTGAGACGACACCCTATAGCCCTTTGAACTAAAGAATATTCTAAAATGGTTTTCACACTGAGTTTCTGGCAGATGACCTTGTGCCAAGAGAAAAAGCATCTAAGTAGGTTTACAACTTTGTTTCTGTCAGTATTTGTCCTATCTTAGCCTATATAGACTATATAGCATGTTAGTAAGACAGAGAGCGAAACGTTGGCTCTTGTCGCTTCTCTAACAAGCCATGCCCCACCACGGCAGTATACGTTCCAGTATTTTCTTTAGTTGTTAGTCCCGGTCTACAATAGATATTTCAAGTTCTAAATATTAAGAAATTGACCAATCACAATCGAATGTCAGAAGAAAATCGACTGTGATTGGTCAATTTCTAAAGGCTCCAAGTTTAAAACTTAAAGCACCTAATGTAGACCCGGACGCAAACGGATAGTCTCTCGTGTACAGTGGAGGGAGTAAAACACTGGCGCGCATGCGTGAGAGATTCTTTATTATTTTGTCTACCGCTTTGCAACATTTTACAGATGGTTTTCGTAGCGTACACTTGTAGCATTGGTACTCTAGTAGCATTAGTACACTAGTAACATTCACTAGTAGAATACACTTCGCGTTTCTCAGTTTATATATAACTTATAAAGTTTATTTTTAAAAGTGAGAGTAAAACGTGATATTGCACAATCCACCGGATATCTGAAGTTATCTCTAAATAACTCATTAGCCGAAGAACTAAAGGTATGTATCCATGGGGGGAAGAACGTGGATCGTTTGGGGAAGCAATCGTGAAGCGTTTCCTTTAGAATAAATTCGTAAAAAGTGAAACTCCCAAATATTTTCAAGCTGGACAATTTTCACTTATAACGAATTCATGTTGGCGGGGAAAAATTTTATAATAGATATTTTAATCTTTACGGTACAATGAGAAAAAGAGTATCTTTTTGGTACAAAATAATGGGTGTCTATTGTTCGACGATTATTTTAACTATTTACAATGGTTCAAAACATCTGCACAAGGTCATAAATATACTTCCAAGTTTGTAGAACAAATATATGTAATTAATGTTGGACAATAATAATATGTAATATAGTTTATTTATGTAAAGGAAAACACAGATCGATGAGAAAACTTCCAAGAAAAAAATTGGTCGAGCATTAAAAACCCATTATTTTATTCTACGGGTTTAACATGATCCCTACCAGGTATATACTCGGTCACAGGACGGTTGCAAGGGCAGTCACAAAATGGTCACGGGACAGATTTTTTCTCACATACTTGAAAACAAACAAAGAATACGATGACGCGAATCTATGATTTGCGACTATGCTATGAGCGCAACAGATGATCAGACAGCTGATTAAATTTGATACATATATATCAAAATTATATGTGAATATGTAATTTTGATAACTATCTGGCTATCTACTACGCACGTTCGTAAATCATACGCTACCTTAGTCGTATTTTTAGTATGTTTTGAAACATGTAATAAACAAACAGAGATGGAAATAGTTCCTAATCAGCCCGTTTTTTTTATGTTGTTCGAGCACTAAATATATGACAGTTCACATTCAAAACATTCCACAGCATAGTTTACTAAAGAGTGGGTAGAGCTAAAAAGATGGAATAAAGCGCGCGCGAGTTCAAAAACGCAGCACTGGCTCGCGCATGCGTGACATTGCTTCTTTGTCCTTTCGTCCAATGTTTCGCACCACTATACAGTTAGTTTTCCTAATCTTCGTACACGCTTATTTCTTGTTCGAATAGAGAAAAACCGATTATATGAATACTTTATAACTTCACATAAAAATATCGCTAGACTACACTTTCTATGCTAGTATCTACATATCTCATATCATAAGTCGAAGAAATCATATTTCCGATTCAGCAAATCTATTCTTTTTTTTATCTAATTTTATATTCTAATAATCTAATCTTTAGAATGTTCCTTGTCAATACCGCTAGAGGCAATTTAAACCTTAAGAATTTTTAATAAATATAAGTAAGGACTCATGCTGAACTGTACTTTGAGCTTTAATTCCAAACGAATTATTGCGTTTTTATTTTAATTCTTTTAGAAAAAAGATATCGCTGTGTACAGTGTTGCAGAAGATTTTTTTGGTTACGAATATCACAAATTTATTGATGATTTTCTCTGTATTTTAGCAGTAATCTGGAAAATGTTTTTGTGCGCAGGTTCTCCGCAAGAGATCTTCACAGTCTTTCCTCCCGGCGCTCAAAATTGTTTTGAATTTTTACACCTTCACGCAAAACTGTAATTGGTTAACCAGAACAATAGAAATATGTATGGGATTCGGTTCATATCACCTAAAACAAGAGAATGTACTGATACTTCTTTTACTTGCTCGATTACGTCTTCGAGTCTTGATTCTCCGAGTGTTTCTACGCCATCTTCCAAATCAAAAAAAGTCCCACATTTTTTTGCTGATGATCCTTGTATTAGCGAAGAAGATCTGGTTGATGTGGTGGATCAAATTAGGGATGCTATGGATGATGAACCACTAAAAGAAGATCTGGTTATGAAAAATTCTGCTTCTCCGAGTGTTTCTACGCCATCTTCCAAATCAAAAAACATCCCACATTTTTCTGCTGATAATCCTTGTATTAGCGAAGAAGATCAGATTTATATGGAGGAACAAATTAAGGATGCTATGAAGGATGAACCACTAAAAGAAAATCTGGTTATGGAAAATTCTGCTTCTTCGAGTGTTTCTACGCCACCTTCCGAATCAAAAAACACCCCACATTTTTCTGCTGATGATTGTGTTGGCAAAGAAGATCTGGTTGATTTGAAGGGTCAGATTAGGGATACTATTGATGAACCACTAAACTTCGTATCTTCACATTTTGGCATTGGAGATGAAAAACTGCCAGTTGTATGTATATTGGAATTTTACATCATTTTGATTATTTGTTTTAAATGTTTATATTTATAATCTTTAATTTTATTTGAAAATAAAAAGTAAATATATATTTTTTTTGTAGGATTGTAAGCCTGTGATGTTGCCGTTGGAGACAAATAAAAAGTTTTCAAAATTGGCAGAAGTTTTGGAAGAAATTGCAAATTTAAATAAACTTGCATCAAATCAACTTGATGCTACAGTTGCGTTACAAAAGGATTTAAGTGACATGCGTAAACTTTTTGCGAGAAAATTTACAAGATCTATTGACTTGATCAATGTTAATGATATGGTAATAAAATTGAGCAATGAAAATTATAATCTTAAAAAAGAAAATAAGATGCTGAAAAATAAGTGTATTGCGTGACAAACTGAAGACATGAAATATGGCTTTGAGGTATATAATAGAAATATATATAGATGTATATATGTATGTATATATTTGTAATAATATAAATCTATATATATATATATAGATAAATCTATATATATATATATATAGATTTATATTATTACAAATATACACATACATATATACATATATATATATATATATATATATTCACAATATTACAACATCTTTTTATTACCCAATATTATTATATATAATATTATTATATTATAATTATGTTTTATTTCTAGAAAACCAATGAATGTCCTAGTTTTAACACAATCAAATCATTTCTGATCAAATCTTTTATGAGCAACATCACTGAAAGAAGCAGTTGCATCATTCATATCTGAAGAGTAGAAATATATATTGCTTAATAAGCAGCAAGTTTGTCGCACTCTTATGACAATTTAAAGTAGAAAGTTAAGTTAAGTTAAATTAACTATAATGAAAGTTAAGTTAACTATTATGACTGTTTTGCAACCTTTTAAACTACGAAAGTACCATGAATCAATGAACAATTTATTATTTAATATTTTTTATAATTTATTATTTAATATTATTTACAATTATTTTTTAATATTTTTTATAATTTATTATTTAATATTATTAACAATTTATTAGTTAATATTTTTATAATTTATTGTATAATATTATACACAATTTATTATTTAATATTATTTAATATTTTTTAAGCAACGACTATTGTTATGTAATAATGTAATGTAATGTAATGTTTATGTAAT